TAATTTATTATAGTAGCAAACATATATAATAAAGCCCTGGTAGAACAATGGTTAAGCACTTGACTATGAACTGAAAGGTTGATGGTTCAAACCTCCAGCTGCTCCTTGAGAGAAAAGTCCTGATAATTTGCTTTCAAAAAGAAACCAAATCCACTGCCACTGAGCCAATTCTGACTCATAGTAATCCTAGATAACAGAGTAGCCTTGCCACCATAGGGTTTCCAAGATTGTAAATCTTTACAGAAGCAGAATGCCTTATCTTTAGCCTATGGAGTGGTTTGAACCAATAACCTTTCAGTTAGCAACCCAACACTTAACTGTCCCACCAGAGTTCTTTTCCATAAAGATTTTTGTTAAGTTGTTAAGTCCTGTCAAGTTAGTTTTGACTCATAGCAACTTTGTATAGGGGTTCTGGGGAGCGACTGATGGGTTTGAACTGCCAACCTTGTAGTTAGTAGTCCAGTGCTTATCCTCTATCATCATACCAGAACAGCCTAGAAAAATCCTAGAGGGCAGCTCTAGTCTGTCCTATAGGGTCACTAGGAGTTGGAATTGACCCAACAGCACACAACAACAGGATTTCTATATTTTTCTGTATATATATATTCTCTCCCTTCATATACCCTGAGGCCAAGCTGCAAGTATTTGCCAGGCCCCTTTGGTAAACTTAATGTTGCTTGAGAGCTGACAGATGACAGGACCCCGTCCTAGTGTTCTACGTGAACAGAAAAAGCAAGGGCCAGGATGCTGAGGTTCAGCTCTGCCACTTGGATGATTTTCTGACCCCAGGCAAATCCCATTCTCATTGAGGACCTCAGCTTCCTCATTTGTGATGTCATAAGTCCTGAGGTGCATCCTAACTACAACATTTTCTGACAAAGAACAGTCACTTAGTATGTTCCATGTACTTCTACATATATGAACTCAATTCATAGAGAAGGTACTAATATGATCCCCATTTTATCGATGGGGAAACTGAAGCACAGGAAGTTTAAGCAATGTATCCAAAGTCACAGATCTAACAAAGCTACACTGAGATGTTGCCAGAATGTGTCCTTCAGAATCCAGACTCTTACCCATTGCACCTGACTGCTCCTGATAACACCTATCAGGAATGGCCACATGCCCAATCAGATCATACATTCTGGGTATTCTTAAAACAAGGTCTCGTTCTCTTGAGCTTTAGTTGTTGTTAAGTGCCTTCAAGTTGGTTCTTACCCATAGCAATCATGTATCGGGTTTCCAAGGAGTAGTTGGGACAGAACACATCAAGCCCTCCCAGGACAGAATTTGACATACAATTGGTTCTGGAGCCTGGCTCATTTTAACAAGCTCCTAGAGGGCTTGTCTGGGCAGTCTCTGTAGCAGTCCCTGGAGCCACAGTGTCTGGTTGTCACGGTTGTTCTGGATACTTGTTCTGGATATGCCCATCTGGCTCAGAGTCACCATGGTTTCCCTCTCAGACATGTGTAGCATCTCACCAGGCTGCAGGGCTGTGCCTGACCTTGTCTGAGATTTTACATTTCCCTTGTCTGTTTTGTTAAAAGTAGATGGAAAGCAAACGCTTCCTCTATTTTACATGGCTGCTTCTTCTGCCAACCTCATAAGCAGGACCCAAAAGAAAAATTACCTCTAAAAATGTCAGTGTGAATGGCAACATAAGAGTAGGGGCCAAAGGTGAACAAGGTTGAGATCTCAGTGTAGTCAAACTTCTCTAAAAGTAAGTATAGGAGGAAGGGCATCTCTAAGCCTACACACAACCTTTCACTGACTCAAAACCCACTCAGCATCCACCTTCTACAGGGGAAATGCCTTTGCTACCCCATCCCACAGCACTCTCTCTATTACTTCCGGAACTCACTCACTGGACACCCACAGAACTTGTGTGGTTGGTCATCTTTTTCCTGCAGTGTGCTCCCTCTCTCCCAGTTAACAGTTGTCACCACCCCGTTTCCAGGATAAGAAGCCCAGGGGCAGTGAAAGCCTTTCTTTCTACCTCCACACACGTTGTAGAAACAGGAGGTACTCCTCAGTATTGGTTGAATGAAGTGTAGCTTTGGTCCTTTCTGGTATAAACTAGGTCTGGGACACAGGTAATTTGCCAAGTAGGGGTTATTTAAGGAAACGTTTAAAAAAATAATTTTGTTGTTGTTGTTGTAAATATACACAACAAAACATATACCAATTCAAGTTTTTACATGTACCATTTAGTGATATTGATTATATTCTTCAAGTTTTGCAGCCAATCTCATCCTCCTTTTCTGAGTTGTTCCTCCCTAATTAACATAAACTCACTGTCCTCCTAAGGTTCTTATCTAATCTTTTGAGTTATTGCTGTCAATTTAATGCTTAAGGCAGACATTTTTTACTAGTTAAGCTAAATTGTTGTTTGGTAGGGGTATTTTGGGTTTAAGGTTTAAAGATGACCTCAGAGTAATCAGAGGTTATCTCAGGTTTCAGACATTCATCTAGCCTTCTTGGCTCTGGGAAGTATAGAGTCCATACAAATTTAAATTTTTGTTTTGCATTTCCCCCCCTTTGATCAGGATTTCTCTATGGAATCTTTGATCAAAGCCAGGGACCATAAATAAGTTCTTCTGATCCATTGGAAAAGGAGGCAGTTGTTCATAGAGACAATTAGCCAGACATTCCATATCCTCCTATTCCTGACTCCTTCCTCTGTTGTTCCAAGCAAATGGAGACTAATTGTTGTGCTTGGATGGCTACTTACAAGCTTTTTAGACACCAGGCACTATTCAATGAACTAGGAGTTAGAATAAGATACTAAACATGTTATTAGGCCAGTTCCTGGGATGTCCCATGAAACTCTGACCCTAGACCACCAAACAGCATCAACAACTACTCTTTTGTTTTGTTTTGTTTTGTTTTGTTTTGCTGTTGCAGTAAATATATCTGTCATACAACTTTTTGCCAATTCAACTTTTCAGAGATGTGCAACTTCTTGGCAGCCATTGCAATAATCAGTCATACCACTCTACTCTTAATCAAGTCGACATTTCCATAACTTTTAACCCCTTTCTCCCATCCTTTCTGCCCCTGGTAACCACTAGCAAACTTTATTCTCTAAACATTTATGGATAGATAAGAAAGTTTGAAGCTAGCCTATCACTTTTTTTTTTTAATTGTAACTATTGTTCTTGAAGTGCTAGGGAATACACTAGAAAAGCAGGTTAAATTGATTTCTTTGCTAACCTCTTCTAAAATAGCTTTTAAGATCCTTCTTTCATTGATCGAACTACTGGTTCACATGTGTGGGGTACACAGTAAAGGGATTTTTTTGTAAAGTTCTCTATCACCTGTATGAGGATAGTATGTATACAAGTTACAGAAAGAGATCCAGGTGGCCTGTAGTCCCTCTGGTACAAAAGGCTAACACACTTGGCTGCTAACCAAAAGGCTGAGGGTTCAAGTCCACCCAGAAGTACCTTGGGAAAAGGCCTGGAGATCTACTTCTGAAAAATCAGTCATTGAAAATCTTATGGAGTACAGTTCTACTTTGACACAATTGGGGTCACTATGAGTCAGAACCCAAGGCCTGGTTGCTTGGAAGGTGGTATTGGGCAGGATTTCTAACAATTGGATGTTCCAGTGTGGAGCTGCCCAGGAAATGCAGCCTGCATTTCTGTTCCAATCCTGAGCATAGAGCTGGGCACATGGATTTCTCAGCCTGCCAGTCACGTCTCTGGGCTCTAAGTGTGGTTGCCAGTTGCTTCTGCCTGTCTTCAGAGCACTCTAATGGATCTTTATTTTAAATCTTTTCTTTTCTCAGGAAGTTTCTAAAAACCTCACCAAAGGAAATGAGCAAATCAAAGAGGACATGGAAGAAATTCGGACTGAAATGAACAAACGAGGAAAAGAGAACTGCTCTACGAACACGCTAGATAGCGTGCCAGACATCCGGTCAGCCCTGCAGAGGGATGCGGCGGCTGCCTATGCCCACCCAGAGGTACAGTCCCCACCTCTGGAGCCTCTGCCCATAGCTCCAGACAGCCTGGTACCACATCTCACCTTTGCACAGAGCTTTTCAGATTCCATTTCTTCCGTAGTTAAAACCTCATTGCATCACTGCAATAGTCTTGTAAATTTGATGGGGCAGGAATTAAGCCCCTTTCTACTTCACACTGAAGCATAGAAAGGCTCAGTGAGTACATGTTGCATCCAGAACTTACACCTGAGTCTCCTGAGTTTTAGTTCCCAGTCTTTTCATTACACCCTGTCTTAGTCATCTCATGCTGCTGTACCAGAAATACCACAAGTGGATAGTTCTGAGAATGAGAAATGGCTTCTCTCACAGTGCAGAGACCCCAAGTCAGAAGGACACACTCCACTCCTGGCTCTTCTATCTTGATGGTAGTAGGTCCCTTCCTCTCTGCTCAAGTCTCTGTCCTTTTACTTCATATAAATTAGATGTAGCTGGTGGTGGGATTAAGGATGGTGTACTCAACAGCCACTTCTTGGGTTGCTGTGAGTTGGAACCTACTTGAAGGCACTCAACAACAACATCCCACCCTTAATCCTCTTATTGGTTGATCACAGCAAATCACATCATGTCCACTGTTCAACCACTAGAAATCCTGGCCCAGTCAAGTCGACACAGAACCATAACTATTGCATACCCCATCCCACCTTTGTGAGAATCCCATGCCCTTATAAGTGAGGAGGAGCATAATGCTGCTTTGTCTGGGCTCACTCCTACTGTCCTGGCATAATTATGCAACAGCACCCTCTTTCACTCTCAAAAAAATGTCCCAGTTTGCACAAGAAAATTATATGGTTCCCTCCATTTATAAGGCACATTACAATTCACTCTGCACTTTCATAACTATTCCACATGGTCTTTACCACAGCTCTGAAAAGCAGGCCCAAGAGAGGTCAATATCCTTCTGTTAGAGATGAGGAAACAGATCCAGATATGTTCCCTGTCTCCCTTGCTTAGCCAGAAAATCATGGCGGAATCTCCACCCTCTGTCTCTTCTCAACCAGCTATGACCCCTGTCCCCAGGCATGATGTAGATGCTGTCTAATGTGATTTGAGAGATGCCAGCAGACCAACTTGCTTAAAAATACCTCTCTGGGGCCTATTTCTTTTGGCTCCAGTTAATACATTATGTTTATGTGCTAATAGTTAAAGATGCTTCCATTTAACTATTGGCACATAATTGATTTATTTCCTAACTTGATGTCCAAGAAACAGACATTAATTTGGGAATCGAAGTGAAGATAGGTAAATGGGTAAATGTTGAGAGTAGGCTTTGAAGAGAGTATAATGCTATTAGCAAGACAGGTCTGAATGGAGAATTATCAAAGGGGATAACCAAGCGATAGCAGCATTTAAGAGAGGCTTTGCTTACTTTCAGGGGCCCTAGTGGCACTGAATTGCTAATTACAAGGTCAGCAGTTCAAATCTGCCAGCTGCTTCTTGGGAGACACATGAGACTTTCTGCTCCCTTAAAGATAGCTTTGGTAACTAGCAGGCAGAATAGACTCAGTGGTAGTGTGTTAGTTTTTTGGTGTTTTGTGCTTACTTTGAGGCACTGTGGTTTAAACACCTAGCTGCTAGCCAAAAGGTTATTGAGTGGAACCCATCAGCCACTCTGCAGGAGAAAGAGGTGGCAGTCTGCTTCCATAAAGGTTAAAACAAAGCACAAACAAACAAATCATAAATCAAGTCAGTTCAGACTCCTAGCAACCCCACAGGACAGAATAGAACTGCCCCATGGGGTTTTCTAGACTGAAACTGTACAGGAGCACACCACCACATCTTCCTCCTGAGGAGCGGCTGGAGGGTTCCAACCTCCAACCATTCAGTGAGCAGCCTAGTGCTTAACCACTGCACCACCAGGGTTTCTTTTCCATAAAGATTACAGCCTATAGGGTAGTTCTGCTCTGTCCTACAGCATTGCTGTGAGTTGAAATGTACCCTATAGCAATCGTTTGGCTTATTTTTTGTTTACTTTAGCTGGTTGCCAAGGGTTGGTGGTGGATGGCAGAGCTGAGGCACGCTGGTTCTGGGGAGTGGTTGCAGGTATGCCATTGAGGACTTCCCTCTGTCTCAGTGGCTGGGCTGTGTGTGGGTTGAGTAGGACCTGTGGCAGCCCGATCTCCTGAGTGGTTTTCTCCGTGCACCATGACTTGAAAAAAGGTTGGGAAGCACTGTCATGAACCTCTGTTCCTGGATCATTAAGAAGTGGGGTAAGGGAGGAAATAAGACTGGGTATGTAGGCTTGGAACATCAACGTGGTGCCAAGCGGACAGCAGCTGTGGGCTTGGAGAATCTTGGGCACGTGTGTTCTGAAGACAGGATCACAGGCTGGTTAGGACTTTAAAGGCAACAAACATTGAAATGATTATGGTGCCACTCGCCCCAATATGCAACTCAAAATCAAAATGACTCCAAACCATAGAATAAGTATAAGGAAGGCCAGTCATTTTCTGGGTTTTCCTATGATGACTACTTTGATGGTTTTTGGAAATATCATATTCCTTCAAAAATTATTTTTATGTTCCTTTTTGGGTGTCCCTGACTTGCTGACTACTTACCGAGTGTATGTTTGTTTAGTCTACTTGGCAGGTCATCCCTGAGCATTGAGATCATAGACCACAGAGCCTGAGAACATGGGGCTGGAAGGAGATCACAGGTCCCTGCTCTTCACACCTGGGGCCCTGCATGTCTTATCATCGTCCATTGACCTGGCCAGCTGGCCCATGGAACCAGTTTCCCAGTCAGTGAAGCCTGAGACTCCATCTGTTGTCTTGATGACACATGATGTGGTGTGTTCAGGAACCCAGTACAGATTTCCTGAGGGCAAACAGCAAATCAAATGAAACACACCAAACTTGTTTCTCCTTGCTCAGCAAAGTCCTTTCCCCTCCTCAAATGCTCATTCATCATCCTACTGAAGCTACCACAAGTCATCTAACCAGAGTGGTGGGAGAGTAGTCAGGGCTGAGAAAGGGGAAGGTTGTGAAGGAAACCCAAGGGGAGAGTCTTCCTCTCCCTTTTCATTCCTTGTCTCTTCCAGAGGGAGAGAATGGGGCATATGGGCTGGGTTGTTTAATTTCAGGGACTTTGGAGATGAAGTCAGGGGCCTCTTGGAATGGTGAGTGGTCACTTATTGGAGGCATCTCTTTAAGAAGGTTCTTGCTTGAAAGTTGGCAAGGGGCTCTGGGGGCTGGGTTGGGAATGGAGAGGGCAGGATGGGTGCGGGAGCATCAGGACGCCAGGAGTTTAAGTCATACAAAAGAGTTTTGGATTAACAGAAAGGAAATCAAAGCTTGGTGGGAGCTGCTGCTGCCCAATACAGCCTGTCGCCAGTGGATCCAAGGAAATTATATGTTCTCTGGAAAAGGCTGGCCGTAGTCTTGCTCCATCTGCTTGGCTGGGAAAAAGAACTGCAATTCCCGCCCATCCCTCAGAGCCTGGAATTAAAGACAGTTCCTGGGGTTTGCCACGAAGAAATGACAGTCTGCTTTTGCAATGCAGAGGGAAAACGGGGTCCAGCAATTAGATATCCCACAGCGTCTGAGTCCAGGGCTGTGGCCAGAGGCCTCTTGTCAGCCTCCCAGGCAGCTCTTCCCTGTGGGAAGTGAGGGATCCCCCAAGTCTGCGGGACAGTAGCCAGACCATGGCCCTGAGGGCTTGGGGATATAGACAAGTTTCTGGATGGACAACCAGCTAGTCCCGTGATCACAGTGGACAGAGTGGCTTAGCATAAGAAAGGGCACAGACTCTTAAAGCAGGCAGCCCTGGATCCACTGAATAGCTGTGTGACTTAATAAGTGTACCTCTTGGCCACTTAGTTGATTGGCTTTCAATGAAATCACCCTGAGCCTCCAGTTCCTCACCTGTAAGATGTTGTTATTGAGTGCCATCAAGTTATTTTTGACTCATAGAGACCCCATGTGGGCTTGAACTGCCAACCTTTTGTTTGAAAAAACAAAACTTTAAAAATACATAGTTGTTTATGTGCCACTTCTTCTATCTATAAAATATGGAAAATAAGATCTACCTCAGCCAGGTTGTTGTAACGGTTAAGAAGAATATAAGGAACACATATGGTCATAATCGGTGCTCACTGAAAGGTTGTAGTGGGTTCAAACCCACCAGCTACTCCTAGGAAATCCTATACAGGGTCACTATGAATCAGAAAGGATTCAACAGCACTTAACAATAACTAAAAGGTCATCACAACCAACCTAGTATCCTTACCAACAAGAACAGGGAATTGAGCGAGGGGTGGGATGAAGGAGTTGCTGCCTGTTACTTCTGGAAAGTTATTTGGCCCCAGTCAGAGGAAGCTGGCTGAAAGGTATCCCTTGCCTTCCATGCTGGCCACTTATATGTAGTAGAAGTGAGTGATGCATACTTAGGAACTGCCATGTCTATTGTGCCATCTGAACAATCTCTCTTGTCACAAAAGAGCAAGTAGCGACTTGGGTGTGTGGCTGGAAATGAGGAATCAAGATTTCTCAGGGCAAAAAAAAAAAAAAAAAAACTTTTTCAACTTTTTAATGTGAGTTAAGTGAGCGTTTACAAAGCAGATCATCAGTTTTACGTTCAACAAATCCTGTACTTTGCTACATTACATGGTTGTAATCCCATGTCTACCCTCTAGCCTGGTAGCGTGATGGTTACGAGTCAGGCTGCCAATCTCAAGGTCAGCAGTTCGAAACTACCAGTGGTTCCATGGGAGAAAGATGAGGCATTCTGTTCCCGTAAAGATTTACAGCCTCGGAAACCCTGAGCAGGGTCACTATGAGTTGAAACCTACTCGACAGTACTTAACAACAACAACAACAACCCTCTAGCCCATGAATAATTCCCTCCCCATAACCATCATAGATCCTTTCCTTTATTAAAAAAAAAACCAAACCGGCTTGTTGGTTTTTAAAAACTTTTAACAACATTGGTCTCCTATAATATTCGTCCTTTTGTGATTGACTAATTTCATTCAGCATAATGTCCTCCAGGTTCACACATGTTGTGAAGTGTTTCATAGATTCATCATTATTCTTCAACATCTGATAATATTCCATTGTGTGTATGTACCAATGTTTATTTAGCCATTCTTCAATTGATGGATATTTAGGATGTCTCCATCTTTTTGATATGTCTCTTATAGACAGCATATTGAAGTTTCTAGTTTTCTTATCCCTTCTGTTCTCTATATCTTCCCCACCCCCCATTTTGCAACTAAGCACACTCTGGAAGCTTGCAAGCCAACCACTTCATGCCTTTGTAGGCCCCCAATTTCAATAGTCAATGTCTAAATTTCTCATCCCTAGACTGTAAAATCTGTTTGAACCATAAGGCTGGTGGTTCAAGCTCACCAGCCACTCTTTGGAAATTCTGCATAGGGTCACTAGGGGTCAGAACTGACTCGACAGCACTTAACAACAACAACAATATTAACCCAATACACCGAGGAAACAAGGTTGCTCCTGGATATGAAGAATCCTTCCATTCTGGTTAGAATTTTGAGTCACTGTATTCATAGGCAGTAGTCTAGTTAGTCAAATTGTAGCAATTTGCACTTGTTCTCAATATCAAACATCTTTATCTTCCTTGGTTCCAGTTCTGGTCAACTAGCCATCTAAGCTAGATCAAATGGGTACTAGCTGCCAGTATGGGAGTTCACAAACATCTCCCTGCACTTCAGACCAGCTGGCAGCTTCACTCTCATCTCTAACCCCCAGGGACAAGGTCACTGACCTTGGGCTCAGGACTTCACACATCACCCTAAACTTCAGACCAGCCTGCCCTTCCTCTTCTCTCTCTTATCTCAAGGTCAGTGGGTTCCAGTAGAACATGGCCAAACTCAGCCCATGATTTCATTGTTGCATTTCCCCCACTTTCACTCACAAGTAGACCCAGGTGGTCACCAGAGAGTTTATTATACTTCTCATGGGTCCCCTTGGAGTTTCAGTCCTAAATGTGGGCTTTCCCTAATGGACTGACTTTTCTTTTCTTGATGTCGGAGCCAAAATTTAAAGATCAACACAAGAGCCTGAGCTTGTTTTCTCTGTACAACGTGAGGAAGTTGGTCACTATATGGGGTCCCTAATACTCAATGACCCTGGAAGTCCTGCTCTGCCCTTGGGGCACTGGGCATGTAGGGACAGAGGTCTTGTTCCAAGTGGATGCTGCTGTCTGGAGGATTTTACCATGGTCTAGAATTACAACATTTAGGGGAGCTCACCAACTCCACTTGATGAGAAGGGGATTTTCATGGCTTTCACGATTCAATCATTTGATTCCTCTTGAGAATAGGGCCAGGCCAAAGACCTCCATAGGCCCCCATACTGTTCCCATATGGAGCCACTGCCTCTTAGGAGCTGGACCCATATGTGAGACCCCAACTTTGAGCATAGCCAGCTCACAAGCCCTGTGCTCAATGTGCTCTGCTTCCAAGGTGGTTGATAGTGAACCTGGGAAGGGAGCATGACTGGACAGATCAAGGTAGAACCCAAAGACTCAGCCACAAGGTGGACAAAGGTCAATCCTTGAGTAGCAACTCTGTAGAGGACAGGGTGGTCTTTCTATGTGGCCAGAACATGCTAGTGGTGTTCCACTGTGCCACTAAGATATTCAGACACCAGGTCATGGGCCTGCCTGTGAGGGAATCTTCAGAAAGTTTGTGGAAAAATTCTATTATCTTTAAATTCCACTTTTCAATGAATTTGTTAAAGCCCCCTCATATTTTAAAGCATCATTTGATGACTTAATGTAATCACAAATGTACACAGTTCTTTGGCATTTGTTATGAGTCAACAATTCAATTTAGCAAATATGAAAGAAGATCAGGTTAAAGGAATCAAAGATGAAGGTCTGTGCTAAACATTCACTGAGCACTTCCTAAGAGCTGGCCTCTGTTCTAAGTACTTTCTGTACGATGGCTTTATTCATTCTGCTTAGCAGTCCTATGACACTAAGTTTATCATCCATATTTACAGATTAGGAAATTGAGGCACAGAGAACTGATGGAAGTTTTTTGTTTTTGCATGCTGTCCAGCTGATGCTTACTCATAGGGACCCCATGTGACAAAGTAGAACTGCCCCATAGGGTTTTCTTGGCTGTAATCTTTATGGAAACAAATCACTAGTTCTTTCTCTCACAGAGCCACTGAACAGATTTCAAATGTCAAGCATTTAACCACTGCACTACCAGAGTTTCTTTGTAAATTTTTTAACTGTTGGAATTATTATGGCCATGGCTCTAGTGTTGTCCAACTTGGCCACACCCTCTGTGAGCAATGACCTGTCCTTCCCTTGTGTCCTTTCTGGGAACAGTATGAGGAGCGATTTCTGCAGGAAGAAACCGTGTCCCAGCAGATTAATTCCATCAAGCTTCTGCAGACGCGGCCCCTGACCCCTCCAGAGGTGGTGAAGCCACAGCGGCCCCTACAGAGACAGGTCCACCTGAGGGGCCGGCCAGCCTCCAAGCCCACTGTTATCCGGGGCATCACCTACTACAAAGCCAAGGACCCTGAGGAGGAGAATGACATCGAAGAGCAGCGTGAGTTGGGGTCAGCAGGGGCTCCCTGGAAATGGGAGGGAGGGTGTTACCATTTGGACCAGAGTCTGATGGAGATGCACTTTTTCTGTAAGCCACATCCCTTCCATAGTCCAGTGACTGCTGTGGCTCCTCAGAGCCAGTGTTGTCATTTGACTCAACTCCATACAAATCTACAAGTTATCCAGAGTTTTTGCTGCATTTGCTTACAACTTATTAAGTGACCTAAGTCCACGTAACTTCTCTGGGCTTATAGAAGACCACATGGCAGAGAATGGCTGAGCTGGAAGGGACTTCACTGTCCTCTACTCTAGTCCTCCCATTTGCAGATGAAGAAATTGTGGTTTGGAGGGGGAATAACTTGTTCAGGGCCACATAGTGGCTTCTCTCACCTGTTCCTGCTTCATAAGGACCTGGGAATCTAGTCTAAGACCTCATTTTGTCCTCTTCTTTTTCTAATTCCACCCTTTTTTTGTTTTCACAGAAAATGGGTTATTTCCCCATTGTCTTCACCTTGTTTCCTTAACACGGTTCCTCCTCCCTACTTTCCCCCAGATGGCCACATGGCTAACCAAAGATTCTGCTCTTCTCTCTCCATCTCAGTGAGCACCATCCTGACCACTTATTGCTAAAACTTCCCCTTCCTCCTGAGTTCTCTGGACCCTCCTCACTCTGCTCTACTTTGGCGCTGTGGGTTAATACACCAGACTGCAAAGCTGGTTGAATTGCAAGGTCGGCGGTTCAAGATCACCAGCTGCTCCTTGGAAACCCTATACAGGGTTGCTATGGGTTGGAACTGACTCAACGGCACCTAACAATAACAACCATTAAAACAAGTCATGGTTTGGTGATGTAGGATAAGTACTGGACTGCTAACCACAATGTTGGTGGTTCAAACTCACGAACCACTTCTCAGAAACCCTACATAGGGTCACTGTGAGTCAGAACTGACTTGACGGTACTTAGCAACAACATATGAGGGTGGGGGCTTCAAACTATTCAAAATATTCATGTAAAAAAGGAATTGAAAGATAATGGAATTTTTCCACAAACTTTTGAAGCCCCCTCATATATATATGTTTATTGTTTAGGGTCTCCCTCTGTGGGGACATGGAATTGTTTTGCTCACTGTTGTTGTGTGTGTCCATAAACATCTGTTAAATGAACAGAAGACTAAACTTCCCCTCAACCAGCAAGTTTTATAACCCATGACTCTGCATCCTCCAAGATACTACCAATGACACTCACTGAGTTTTGGGTGGAGTAGAGCAGTGCTTTATCTATGGATGTTGTTGTTGTTAAGTGCCGTCAAGTCAGTTCTGACCCATAGCAACCCTGTATATGGTTTTCAAGGAGCAGCTGGTGAGTTTGAACTGCCAATCTTGCAGTTCAACTTGACCTTGCGGTCCAGTGCTTATCCAGTTTCCTTCCATCCATGCTCTGTGTCTCCTTCTAGAGGCTGTCATTGTGAAATCCCAGCTGGATCCCATCTTTAGATCAGGTTGTCATGCTGAGAAGAAAAATGCTCTGATTGATGTGCTGTACACTATATGTGTTTTGCCATCTGAAAGTTTCACCTCTGCCCTTGTGTTTGCTTCACAGAAGATGAGTTTTTCAGTGGTGACAGTGGAGTGGATTTGCTGATTGAAGATCAGCTCTTGAGACACAACAACCTGCTGACCAGCACCACCCAGAGGCCAGCAACTGTGACAAGTGACCAGAGTACTCAGACCACACTTTTGTCTTCAGCGCTGCTGCAGACCTCAACCTCCACACCCACTGACCCTGCTCTCTTTGCCTCGGTAGAACAACTCTCAGCAACACCCCAAGCCACCTCTGTGTTTCCAGACCCCATGCAGGAGGCAGCCCTTAAACCTACTCTGGGGCCAGTTACCACCACGGCACAGACCCAGCAGCCTCCAGCCTCAGCTCCCTCAGCAGTGACCCCTGGGGTCACATCTGTGGAAGGTACCCTGGTGGCCCCAGTGCCCACCACAGTCAGGACAGGCCCAATGGGGAAGGAGGCTACTTCTGGGCCCACCCTGAGCCCTGAAGAAGAAGATGACATCCGCAATGTCATAGGTGAGTCGATTCTACCTGGCCTGGGGGCTTCTAGTCAGCTCAGTCACATCCTCCTAGATGCTACAGTGACCTGAGTTGTGAGTCCTGGGAATAGGTTGGAAGAAAAGGAGGTGCTATGTGGTTAAATTTCTTTATAAAGAAACGGATGGAATCATGCCTCTTAGCCAAGGAATGGTTTTTAATAATTGAAAGATGAACAATTAGCCTTTATAGCTAGGGTTTATGTAGTCCAGATATGCCAGTGGCAAGACAGGGATCCTCTATATACAGAGATGCTTCAAAAAGTTTGTGGAAAAAATCCATTATCTCCTAATTCCATTTTTCCGTGAATTTTTTGAAGCCCGCTCATATATATAGTTGATCCTTGAATGACAGAGGGGTTAGAGGCACTGACCTCCCTGCAGTGGAAAATCGGGTATACGTTACAGGAAACCTTTGAACAATGCGCACTGACTCACTTCTATGCCATTTTCTTTTCCTGTTGCTGGTGCAGTGAGTACAAGTATCCACTTAAATCACCACATGACACGCTAATCATCTCTGTATAAACAAACTGATGAGGAGCATCACAAGCATTTTAAGCAGATACTCACTACACTCCAACTCACTGCAGTAGCAACAGGAAAAAAATCCATGTGTAAGTAGATCTGTGAAGTCCAAGCCTGTGTTGTTCATGAGTCAACTGTATTAATGGAACCACGTTGTTATGGCCATTAATTGCTTCAGAAACATTTGTTGAGTACTTTCTGTAAAGGCTTTGTGATGCATTTTAGGGTATTTGGAGATGACTCAGTTCAGTTTTCTGCAGTGAGTTTACCAGGCCATGATATAAAAAAGGATACTTACAGGAGATGGGGGTCAGATCCCAGGTTAATGACAGAGTGGCCCTCAAGAGCATAGGAACACTGTGGCATCATGTGATAAGTACCATAAAGTACCATAATAAAAGAATGGAGAAATAAAGGCATGCAAGAGGGAACACTAGCTTGGACTGAGTGCTGGGAAGGCTGAAGAAGTTTATCTTAACAGGTATCATTTGAGCTGGGTTTTGAAGGATGAATAGGAGTTTTCAATGAGAGAAGGGAAAGTCTTCAGACTGGTAGGTCTGAGGAAGCAAGGCATGTTGCAAAAGCATATAGAATGCAGCCTTGTTCTGTGCCTGGAAGCTCCATAGTCATAAAATGACCCTGAGAATAGTTGAACATGAGAGTGTGTGGGAAAGACAACTCGAAAATTTAAACAGAAGCTAGCTGCAAAATTCTCTTCCAAAAAGAGTTAAACCTAACAACATTCATTTGGTCGCCATCAATAGTGATTTAAAACAAATACTATTACGTAATAGCTTCATCAAACTAGTTGTTGAAAACTACACTTGATTTGACAGAGAACTTGATTTGCCTTATACATCTTCTCTTCTTCCCATGGACAGTCTGATTCCCTTTCTGTAAGTAAGGTGGTGGAAGGAGCACCCTCCACGAGCCAGGCCCCTGGGTATAAGGTCTGCGTGCTGCCACTGAGAGCTCTGTGACCTTGGGCAAATCCCTTGACTTCTCTGGGTCTCGGTTGAAATGAGACATTTGCTAAGGACTGTTTGCTCATAATAGTAATGGTAGTGTGCCGTGGAGTCAATTCCAACTCATAGCAACCCTTTATAAAGGTTCCGAGGCTATAAATCTTTACAGGCGCAGAAAGCCTCATCTTTCTCCTGCGGAATCGCTGGTAGTTTCGAACTAGCTGACCTCGAGGTTAGCAGTCCGATTCGTAACCACTATGCTACCAGAGCTCCTTTTGGCTATGGTTTTCTGCAGTAAGTTTAACAAGCCATAAGGGGCCCTGAGTCTTGGTGTTGCAGTGAGTAAGCAATTGGCTATAACAAGGGATCCCTGTTGGGGGAAAATTCCAAATAATAGCAAAGTGGGAACAGGGGGATAAAATACGGCCCCAGGGGAAAATCTCATGATTCTTGGCCCATTGAAGCTGAGCATGTAGGGTGGAAACAGGAGCATCTTTTTCAGGGAATGAATCTTTTGTAATCCTTTTTCTGTCAAGTGCTACCCTCCAGTTGGTGTCAAATATATATAGGATTTTCTTACCAGAACCTTCTCTGCAGACTCGATTTCCCTACCTGGCCCAATAAGGCAGTAATGTGCTGACATACCCTAGTCATCAGCTCAATAAAATCCACTTGGTTGGAGTGGACACCAGCTACTTGTCCACAAACTTGCCCAAAAAGACTGTTTGCTATTTGATAAGTCTAGTGATTTTGACTTTGAGTTATTTAAGATGTGTTTTTAAATGGGGATTAAAAAAAGAGAAGAACATCTGATCCCAGGGTTTCTAAACCTGGATTTTGTCTCCCTTTATCCTCAGGAGATTTATAAAATTCTCAGAACAGCTTCAGAACCAAGTCAATTATCATTCCTTTTTGGTTGTGAGGACAAACATTTGGCTGTGGGCTAACTCTAGGACAGGGAAAAGACAGATGCTGTCAGTGAGGGGGCTTTATGAGGGTATGAAAGGAAGGGGCCTGCATTCCAGGGCAGCCTGGCTCAGGGAGGTTGCTCAGGCTACTGCCGAGGAATAAACTATGTGCCACGTGGCTAAGGCTTTGCAGACTCCTACACTAATGCCTGCAATTGCTTTTTCTTTTTCTTTAAAAAGAGCCTAGTTTGAGGCAAGGGGTGGGAGGAGCAGACAAAGAAAGCAGTCAGAATTATGACAGTATCAGAGAGAGCCCGTCTCATACTTGAATCTAGGAAATATCATGATTTGTGAAGAATGTCTCCCCCACAAAGCATTCAACCTCACAGTCCTCAAGACTTGGCTGGACACCCCACTATGGGTGTGAGATGGTCAGCCCTGCCTGCTTTGTGTCAAGAGACTGGACTGAGGCAGCTTGAGGAAGGTGATGCCAACATGGGCAGGAACAGTGTTTCCCAAAGCCTCCTCAGTGATCAGATTTGGGGTCCAGAATTTTCCAGTTGTCTGCTCTGCCATTTGACAGGCATCCCCCACATAACTTCACAGGTCTGCACCAGCATCTGTCCTTTTGTAGGCTCATCTACAAGTCTCCTCAAACACTTGGAAATTCAGTCATCATATAACACAGGGACTTCTGGCCCTAGATATGAGAATATAAATTAAAGATGTTCCTTTAAGTGGATTTGTTGTTGTTAGGTGTCATCAAGTCGGTACCAATTCATAGCGACCCTATGCACAACAGAACAAAACACTGCCTGGTCCTGGGCCAACCTTACAGTTGTTGCCACGCTTAAGCCCATTGATGCTGCCACTAAGAAATATTAAACTCCAATCCTCTTCTGTAAGGAAAACAAGTACACTCCTCAGCCCACACAGCACTGCTCTGGGCTGGGTGGTAAAGGTCCATAGTATATGAGGCATGATCACTTCCACAAAGGAGTTAACTGTCAGGGGAGTCCCTGACTGGTGCTGGTACTTGGCTGCTAAGCTAAAGGTTGGTGGTTGGAATCTACCCAGAGGCACCTCAGAAGAAAGACTTGGTGATCTACTTCTAAAAAAAGAAGCTATTGAACTATGGAACACAGTTCTACTCTGATATGAGCATGAGTTGGAATCTACTCAAAGGCAACAAGTAGTGGTAAGAGGAGACAGGCAGGTGAGCTAAAGGTGGTGGTGGAGGCCGTGCGTGGGCTCGTAGAGGTGTGTTGGTTCTAACCCCAGTCCTCCATGATGAATGGAGATCACAAGCTTACCAGGCAGTTCACTCAGGGCCCTCTAGACAGAGTGGACAGCATGTGTCAAGGTTGGGTGTGGGTAGTTGGAGGAGGCTCTTGAATACTGGCATGGGACACCTAAGGAGTGTGCTAGAAGGAATTCTGGAATAAGATGGCAGGGTCCAATTACAAAGGGAATGAGACTTCAGGACTAAATTCTAAAAATGAAAGATTTTAAGCAGAAAAATGATACTTAGATTCTTAAACTGAAGAAAAGTGTTGACGTTGCTGGAGGTGTTAGGAGTGCTCTTCACTGGCATAGCATACAGATTGTATTTGAGACAGATACATTATCGAATTATATCAGCTCAGGGTGGTAAGCACTGTGGTGGAGGAATGTATGAGGTTCTCTGGAGCCACAGAAAGGTGGCAGGGAGGGGCTTCGGAAGCCTGGGATTCGCTTCTAGAAGGAGATGCTGGTCTAGCTGACTTGAAGGTTGAGGCAGAGAAGGAAGGTGGCATTGTGCTCAGAAGGACCAGAGCCAACAAAAGTACCAAGGGGAAATCACATGGCCAGGACTGCCTGCATAATTTGTGGACCCCAGTGCAAATGAAAATGCAGGATCCTTCTTCACAAAGTAAGGAAAGATGTACCATTAAAGGTAGTTGAGAAGCTTTTTGCTTTCTCTCATTTCTCACTCAACTTGTTTCGGTGGTTTTCATTTGCTATTCCTTACCATTGTAGGCAAAGAAAAAATTTTATTTTATCATATTGCATAATGCTAGTTTTAAATGCAAATAGAAAAGCATTTAATGTAGATGTAGAATCACTGAAATTGCACAACACATATTTCTTAGCTCCTGCATGCTTTAAATTGTCAAGGACTTTAGTCTATTTGGATCAACCATCAACACTCATGGAAGCAGCAATCATGAAATCAAACGACATATTGTATTAGGCAAATCTGCTGCACAAGACCTTTTTAAAGTATTGAAGAGCAGAGATGTCAGCTTGAGGACTAAGGTGCGCCTGACCCAAGCCATGGTATTTTCAATAACCTCATATGCATTTGAAAGCTGGACAGTGAATAGGAAGAATTGACACATTTGAATTATGGTGTTGGAGGAGAATAATGAAAGTACCATGAGCTGCCAAAAGAACAAACAGATCCATTTTGGAAGAAGTACAGCCAGAGTGCTCCTCAGAAGCCAGGATGGCCAAACTTCATCTCTCATATTTTGGACATATTGTCAGGAGGGATCAGTCTCTGGAGAAGGATATCATGTTTGGTAAGGTGGAAGGTC